AATTGTCCTTGATCGGTTGAGATAAAAGAGTTCATTGTGTCAGGAAAACATACTGTAACTTTTATAACTGAAAACTTCTTAATGAAAAAAGATAATTTGTTGTAACTAAAGCTGCAAAAACAGCTTGTTCATTCTGCAAATATCAAAAATCATTACATTTAATCTAAATTATTGCACTTTTACGTGAGCACAAATCAAAATAACTTATACACAGATTTTTTTAACTTCATCTAGTTTCCTGAGTTATTATATTTACCGTATACATTAACACACTCTATACATTATTAATATTGAAAAGTTTATCTAACTGTGAAACTCCTAATAATAATTCCAGTAATTTCAAATTGTTAACATTAAAACAAATAGGAAAACTTTGTATTGTAGCACAGAGGTGCATAAGTGCATTGATTCAGCAACTATACAATCGCAAGAAAAACATAGTCGAGATTCATGTTTGGCTTGTTACCAATGCAAGACAATGGAAATGTCAAATGGAAAAACGTTTTCAGGATAAACAGCCAGTGGTTGAATATCACAGACAATTATGCTTCATTAATCGAGGTAAGCAGAATTCTTCATCACGATTAAAATACGTTTAATCGTGCAGCCCTACACAGAAGACAGCTTGAATTCCGGAAAGAACAGAATGAAGCTGTTTGATTTTTTTTATTTGTTGTCAGATCATATAAATAAAGCTTATCTCCTGGTCTCGATAAGCAGAATATTGAATGTGGGACTTTCTCAACACCTCCTTGCAAACCTGTTAGCTCCATTCCATAACAGAAATCCTCTTGAAAATAAACCATGATGGTCTGTCTGGGTCAGAATGCCTCATAAATCTGGCCTGGTTTTAACTAGATGTCTAAATGAGGACTGGACACTGTTCAGATTTTAAAAAGAGGCCAGAGTAAAATGATCAGTAGTGAAGACAGCAGGGAATCGTCTTTGGCTACTCGAGTTTCTCTGGCTTGATTACAGCTGGAATTGCAAGACCGTAGTTGATATCAGTCCATTATTTAGGCTTCAGCCCTGAGAGGAGGTCTGACAGAAGGAGCCAGGAGGGATGAGAAGTATGAAAGAGTTTAATTAGGAGCATACCATTGAAGGAGATATTCCTTCCCACACTTTTCCCTTCCTTGTCTCCACTGATTCTTGATTCTCAGAAGCCGCTCATCCCTCCACAGCTCTCTATTGACTATCTCTGTGCATTTTAGCTTTTTGTCAACCCCCCTCACCCCCGCCTGGCCATTTTCCACTTTGTTAGATTGATTACTCCTCATCAATAATGTTTTGGAAAGACGATCACACAGCTTTCATCTTGCAGAGCTATTAAGATGTCAGAATGTTCTCGCTGCTTGGTCCAAGTACAGGGTCTTTGTTGTCTACTGTATCTTATTTTTAGATAGACAAACTGGAAGCATTAATGTTGCCATTGCTTCTTGGGAAATCAGTTGCATTGGCTGTGTGTTTTGCCTCCCTTCAGAAATGAAGAGCATGGGAGTGATTATGAGTGAGTCATTATAAACCCATAGGAAAGAAAAAATTCGAATGGGATCTCTTTAAAATCTCAGTTGTTTCTCCTAGACAGCCATTTTATTAAATGGAGTTCAGACAGAAACTTTTGCTTAAGTCCCCTACTTAGAAACAGACCCCTGTAAACTAATGTGGAACAAATGGATCTGTTGTCACTGGTCGACCTTGAAACATTCCAAGTTGTCCACAAGTTGAACAAATTAATACAAATTTAATTTAATTTAATTTAATTTATTTATAAAATGTAAATTGTATGATTATAACATTTATTCATTATTACCTGTTTTAACGTATAAATTATATAATTATAATAAATGTATGTGTTGTTTAATTAGATCTTTTTAAAGTCTCAAATGTTTATTAGCAATGAGATTAACTAAAGGTCAAATGAAGACTTTTGCTTGAATCTACTTCTACTGAGAAAATGAACCTGGTAATTAAAATATGCTCATATTTGCCAAGATGCCAAAGTCTGCAATCAAAAGTTACATTTTTTTTTCATTAACATTTTCCAAGATCACATTATATGAGTTGTACTAATTAATTGTATTGCTCTGTACTCTTACTGTATGTCAGTTATCTCACTTTTTTATTTTTATTTAAATGAACCTGAAAAAAAGATGCTTCAGACACATATAATTGAGACCTCCACTTAGGCTCCTGAGCTATGAAAGAGCAACATGTGAGCATTTATTTTTTTTCTCTGAGTAATGGGTGTTTGTTTAGCCATTTATGGCCATCTTCAGCATACATCCTGTGATTGGCTAACTCTATCCCCCTACGGCAGAATGTGTGTGTGTGTGTGTGTGTGTGTGTGTGTGTGTGAGTGAGTGAGTGAGAGAGAGAGAGAGAGAAAGAAAGAGAGAAAGAGAGAGGGCTGGTGACAGGTGTGGATACTCTGACAGGTGCACATATCTGGAATGAGTGGCGTAGCGGCAGACCTTTAGGGTGTTCACAGCGGCTGCATGCTGGGTCTTAAACTGCCTATCCCTGCTTGAGCGCTCACTCAGCCAGCATGCCCTCCCATCAGCACTCTATAGTCTACTCTGCCTCTTTGCACTCCTCTGCCTCAGATTGACATCGGCCGCTCTACACCCTAAATATTCCCTCCACCCCATTGCCGAGGCAATACCTGAGTTCTGTTGTTAGGAGGCAACCTATCATTTGAGGCAAAAAATAAAGTAACCAATTTTATTGAACTCAGAAATTGTTAGTAAATTTCACAAACAATTACAAAGAAATGGTAAAGTAACAAATTGAATTTAACGTGAAGTAGAAAAAGTATTTTCTTGTAGAACATACTCCAGTCATTTTTATTTTTATTTTCAACTTTGAAACTATTTCAACAATTTTATATAACATTATGAAGTTGTTTACTTTGTCTTTTTAATGACTGACACACTATATCTCAAAATTTCCATAATTTTCTATTTCATTCGCCCAAAACAACCATGCCGGTACTCGTCTTCAAAGCATTTGATCAGCTCAATATGTATAAAGGAATAAAAAAGCTCTCATCACGCATTGTCGCTCTCCACACAATCCCTCAACACCTAAAAGAAGCATGTCATAGCAAAGAAAAGAGGATGAGAAACCTGTCTTCATCAAGCCCTCACGTCAGCAGAGTAAATGAATTATCGTGATTGATGCAGATGAAGGCAGAGAAGGACTATGTGTGAGAGCTGCACATATGTTAACTGGTGGCTAATATCCTGCCACGCCATACTTAGAGAAAGTTGATCCAGTGGAACGTCTCACTTTGATGAGACGTCAGACTCCTCAAGAACCTTGTGCAGATAATTACACGAGAGAGTTGAAGACTTTTTGTGGGTCTGTGGTGCAGCATGTGGCAGTGTGCCTCAAGTGTTTATTCCTTCTTTAACTACATGGTGGCTAATATCCCGCCACGCCATACTTAGAGAAAGTCGATCCAGTGGAACGTCTCACTTTGATGAGACGTCAGACTCCTCAAGAACCTTGTGCAGATAATTACACGAGAGAGTTGAAGACTTTTTGTGGGTCTGTGGTGCAGCATGTGGCAGTGTGCCTCAAGTGTTTATTCCTTCTTTAACTACATTCAATGAACACAATGGTGTGTAGTAAATTATTAGTAATTTAAGATGTGGCAAGTTTTTTATTTTTTTTAAGTGTTAATTCTAAAGTAACGTTTCCCAGTTGGCAGACACTCTCTCATAGGCCGACTCTACTGTGAGAGGAAGATCTCATTCCTACTAGAAGGTGGCCATCAGGTGGCAGAGAAAGAAACTGCTGCTTTAAAATATCAGCAGAGCCCACAATTCTTTCTTTTACTGTTACACTAGCTTGTTTGCTTAAGCTTAGCACAACGTTTCAGCTTCATCCCATTTTTGGTTCATGTTCTTAATGGTTATATATATATATATCAAAAGTATCATTTTAGGTTCACTGGGTGTCTCTCTGTTAATCTATTTGCACCAGCTTTATAGGCGTCTCTGTACTGTGGCCTGTTCCACTCTGCTAAAATCACATTTAGAAATTTTTCTCTTTGGTACCCAGACCTGGTTAAATATTAACGTTTGCATTTTAGGTTGGCCCTTCCTGCGTGTGTATCCTGTTGTCTTGACAGCTTCTTTTAAACCAGCTTACAAGGAATATTTATGATTATTTTATATTGCATCAATATAAATAACATGACCTTAAGAAAATAATCTAAAAGCAAGCAAGACTTGAAAGAATTTTAGAAAATAAACCATCAGCTTTAATTTCTTCATTAACAACCCTTTTAAAGTTTCTGCACTAGTGGTTCTCAAACTGTGATCTACAAGTTGATTGACTTGCTAATAAATTGACCTAAATAACTATGAAATTAAATTATTATTATATTAAATACATACTTTACCATTCAAACGTTTGGGGTTGGTGAGAGTTTTTGAAAGAATATTTTTTGTAAAATATTGTTGGAAGACATTTTTTTAATGCTCACCAGGCAGCATTTATTTGATATAATATAAACAGTAATATTGTGAAATATTGATTTAAAATATTTTAAAATAAATTGTTTTCTTTTAAAATATATTTTAAAATGGGATGGCAAAGCTGAATTTTCAGCCTTTAGTGTCACTTGATCCTTCAGAAATTATTATAATAGGCTGATTTGGTGCTCAATAAACATTTCCTATTATCATCAATGTTAAAAACAGTTGTGCTACTTTTTTTTTTTTTTTTGGATAATTTTTTTAATAATATGTATTCATTTCTTTAAATATATAAATCTTACTGACCTCAAACTTTTCAGTGATACTGTATATAACTATACATAATTGTTTTGAGGAAGTTTCCCCCAAATTCTGAAGTGGACTCTTCATGGATGGTTTTCAAACTTTAGAAAGTATGCCGTTTAATCCTGTCTAAATACAGCTTGTATGAAACCCATCTCAGGGTCTTTGTGGTGGTTGGTATTTGAACTGTGTGCAAACTTGTATTTACAGACCCTGAGAAAGAAGGGTCTAAATGGCTGTGACAGCCCAGACCCTGACGCAGACGACTCGGTGGGCCACAGCCCAGAGTCAGAGGAACAGAAGTACCGTAAAATCAACGACGACATTGATCTGCACATGATCAGCAGACAGAGGATATGTGTAAGTACCTGCATCTCAGACAAGCCCTCTCACGCTTCCTTTTCTTTCTCTCTTTTTCTGTCTCTCCGTGTGCTCTGGCTCACTGTCCGCCCTGCGCGGGCCTTCAGGCGTTGAGCAAGAAGGAGAACAAAGGCGGCGAGAGCCTGGAGCTCGAGTCTGCTCTCGCTCTCACTCCACGCACGGAGGAGAAATACAAACAGATTAATGAAGAGTTTGATCTAATGATCAAGACTCAGAAGATACCTGTAAGTACAGTGAAGAGAGGAGAGGCGAAAAACTAACAGCTCTGTGAAAAAGCTAACAAACATATTTGAAGAAACAAAGCAATTAATTCTAATCTTGATAAAACCTTATGTACCATATATAGAACTCATTTAAAGTATATACAGTATATCATGCAGATGTAGTATATCGAGCATTTATAATGACGCTGGCACTGCCTTTGGATGCATGGGAGATAATTGCACTTCTGAGATACGACTAAAACAAGAAGAAGCACAAAGACAATTATTGTAAGACATACAGTCATATTAACCTCAAGTATATTTTGTGCGTTGGAAGGCCTTTCATTGATTGGTGTTCAGGACTAGATACTCTTCATTACATGTCTGAACCTACAGCCTGATTGAAACAAACAAATTAATTTGCAAACCTAAAGTGCATGTGCTTTCCTAACTATGTGTGTCACAGAATTAGGAGAAATAAACTGTACTGCCTGTCTGTCTGTCTGTCTATCAATCATCTATCTATATATATATATTTGTCTACCTGCCAGTGCTGTATGAAATAAACAGTAATTTCCAGTCAGTTGAAAGTTTTCAAATCTTACATGATTTTGAGAAGTTAAGGATGTTTCAAAGCAAAATACTGATGTACGTTTGTGTGGTTAAAGATTTGTCCAGTAAGCTATAGTGTTTTATTGGTTAGGGTTAGGAGAATTAGGTTGGGTTGGGTGAAGTGGTAAATGATGGTGGTGAAGATAGTGATCACAGTGACTGAGTTATATTTTCCCGGTTAGAGAGTACAGTAGCACAAAGAGAAAGAGTGGCACCATGCAGAAGATGCCTAGGCTCACGTACACATAAAGATGTGGAAATCTTTTCCATTAAAAAAAATATATAATAAAGACACAAGAGAGTCCAGGAAAGTTGCACAAAAATGCTAAAGATTCCTCATGTTCGGTTTGTATTGAATCATGTACTTAGTAGTTTTGTTATTAACCTCTTATTTTCCTATAATTTTTAATACGTTTTATTAATTAAAGCAGGTTGATATTATTGAAGCAGTATCCTTCTTTTTTTGTCAGAATCTAAACATGCACTTTTTTTTTATCTAATAGCATGCTTGAATTTTACTCCAGCAAAAAATACAACGAATGGTTGGTGTTATCAGATTAGAAATTGGATTATAACCAGTTCTCATAAGATTAGAGAAAGTCATGAAGCATCAAACTAATATTTTTCAAGCTATTAAAAGGGCCTTGGGGTCTCTGAGACTCCAAAGAGAACATGAGGGTAAAGACGGAAGGATGAACACCTAACGAAAGTGAAGCTGTGCCCACCAAGACCTTAAATTATTTGGCTGCCTTAAGCCATGATTGCTGTGGCCTTGTGAGTTAATGAAGAATGAAAGAGTGACAAAGAGCGAGATGCTCCTCTTCAGTTCCTGTCAGTTGATGCTTTCCCAGATGAGCACTTACAGACCCTCAAGACACAGGGCTAAAATTAGGGGCTATTTTGTCCTTAAACATAAACATAATATGAAGGAGGAAGGAGTCTCTTCAAGGTTAAGCCTGTGTCTTTTGGAGTGATTCGAACAAGAGGATTTACAGAGATTTAGAGAGTTTAGAGTCATCTCGGCTTGTTCATTTATGGTAGATAACAGAGAAAATGGACAGAAATACCTCGCAGGAGTTCTAAGGATTGATGTCATTGCATGCAACATATTAGTCAAAATGTCTATCTTGTTTTTTCCCACTTCTCCTTTGTATTCAGTGCGTTTAACTCTTAGTCGTCACCATTATTATTGTAGTTTACATTACTAATTATTATCTTAATGGTATATATATATATATATATATATATATATATTGTTTCTGTTTCTAACCAGGCTGTGCCCTCCTCCACCTACGAGATGCCCATCCCCATGAATAACCAGATATACCCAGGCAATCATAACCTGCTTCCACTGGCCCACCACGGCCTGCAGAGAAACAGCACGTCACCCGGGGTCACACACAGACCACCTAGTGCAGGTAAAAACACAATTTTTTTGGAAAAAAAAGCACAAATTCTCTTCCAGCTCTAACCAGCCTCACAAATATTCAGCTGAGCATTCTGTTTGTATAAGCTGGGCTTGTATTCACAGTCATTTCTTAGCAGACTTCAGTCATTAAGTGAACTGGATTGGTTCAAACCCAACAGCCACAGTAATTGAAAATAGTAATATTTAAATAGTAATAGTAATATTTTTTTTTCTTTCTTTCTTTTTTTTCACTCCAATTCTTGCAAAATAATTTCTTAACAATTTTGTTTTTGTTCTAATGTGTGTATCAATCACCATATACGCTACCTTCAAAAGTTTGGTAAGAACTTTTTAATGTTTTTGAAAGTCACTTATGCTTTCTGATGATGCATTTATTTGATCAAAAATACAATAAAAAGAGTATCATTATGAAATATTATTACAATTTAAAAATAAATTTTATAATTTTATAAAATAACTGTTTTAATATATTTAAAAATATATTCATTTTTAAATGTATTATATTTAATAATTGATTTTAAAATATTTTTCCTATGATCGCAAAGCTGAATTTCCAGCAGCCATTACTCCAGTCTTCAGTGTCACATGATCCTTCAGAAATCAATATGCTGATTTCTTATCATTATCAATGATTGAAACACTTATTTTTGTGAAAACCATAATACTTTTTTTAAGAATTATTTGATGAATAGAAAGTTCAGAAGAACAGCATTTTTCTGAAATAGAAATATTTTGTAACAATAGAAATGTCTTTACTGCCATTTTTATCAATTTAATGCATCCTTGCTGAATTAAAACTATTAATTTCTTACGAAAAAAATCTTAATGACACTAAACCTTTTAGTTTTAGCATTAAACAACTGTCTTGCTGAATTTGTCAGGTTTGGTGAAATCACATGCTCACCGACATCTTGTGTGCTCTTTAATATAGTTTGTCCCTATAAGCTTTGTAAATATCAGGGTTTTTTATTAGTAAAGAGGTAAACAAGCATATTGGCATCAGCCAGATGCTGCACTGTTTGTCCTGTGTCCTCTGTTTGTTTGCTTCAGCTCATCCGAACATGATAGCACACAACTCTCTTCTCACCCTGTACTTCTGCTTTATGTCTTTTGTAGGATAACAACTAAAACATACTTGGACTATTTTACCATCTAGTAGCCCAATCCTTTTGAGAAGTTTGTATAAGAGTTTCTGTATACAAAAACAATCCACTTGATATACAGTCACAGTGGTGCTTTGACTTGTGGTTGCCTCCGAGTCTCTGGGTATATGTGGATGTCAGTGTATGCATGTCTGTGCATCTGTTTGCATTTGTGTGTGTATGAAGGTCTGCCGGTCTTAACCACTAGCCAGTGGTCACTGCAAAATGGCTTGGATATTTAAAACGGGACTGTAGATGTTTTGAACTTGGCTTTTGGGTTGCTGGGACACAGCTGGGTAACCTTGTCTGGCCTGGGGTCTATTGTATGAGGGTGAGGGTGAGGTCTGTCAACTGACCTCCTCTCCACACTGTCTGGAATGCACAAAAGTACCACTTGTTAGTGTGGCCCTGCTGTCCACGTTCAGGGTCTACAGCCATCAAATATAGCCATTGTGCCGACTACAGGCTAACACAGGGCGCAGTGTGGAGTTGATGTAGGCCACAACTCTGGAAACAAGAGTCGAAGAGAGTCAAACGACACAAACAGCCTCAGTTTTAATGGTCTAATAGTGAAAATGACAGGAATATTCATGAGTCTTTTTTCCTCTCTCTCTTTAGCCTTAGTTAAAGCTTGATTTTATTTAGTATTTTTCTTGTTTAAAAATGACTGATTTCTTTTTAAGTATGTATATAGTATGTATATAGATGGATGAATGGATAGATAAGTAAAAGATAGATGGATGGATGGATAGATGGATAGATATTAATACCATTCACAAAAGTATTTAAAAAATATATACATTTATTTAGCAAGAATGCATTACATTATTCAAAGGTGAGAGTAAAGTTAAAACATTCTGTTTCAAATAAATGTTATCTTTTCAGCTTTTTTTTAAAGTGGTTTAAATGGTGTTTTGCCAGCATGTTCCAGCAAAAGTGTGTCATGGTTATGTTTGTCGCAGACAGTTATTTGTTCGGCCGGCACACTGGCATTCTCAGACAACCGCAAATCCTCTGCTACATGTATTTATGTATCTGTGACACATAGGGTTGTGCTTTGAGATCTGGAGAGGTCAGCCAACACAATTGAGAAAGTGAAGCAGCCGGTCATTTTTTACCTCTTAGGTGGAGTCTCATAGCAGGTCCGTTGAGTTTTTCTTTCTGCGTCGTTTTTTGTTGTTAATTTACTGTTTCTGGGCATCTGCTCCTACCACACCTCTGCAGTTTACGGGTCATTGAAGTAGCAGTACATGTGGAATTCTTTCAGTTGCTAGAACCAGGGCTTGCCTAAAACCTCAACACCGAATCAACAAACACGGACAACAGGATTAAATGTGTCCGTTACACCACAACAAGAAATCAGAGATGTTCCAACTCGCAGGGAAAGCTAGCGTGTACTTAACCACACTAGCCAGTCAGCTTGCTTTGATGCTGAGTGGAAACTTAGGCCAAGCCCATTTACAGTTAAGCCTCCTCTGCGGAGCCCCAGAAATAGTATCGGCTCCTTTATCATGTGTACACATCAGGCGATTTGTGTGTGAGGAGGGGACCACTTGTTTCTGGGCAGCTGTAATTTTAGTACTTCCCCATTGTGAGGGCGATAGCTGGGCCACAAGCGCACAGGGAAGAGACTTGTGTGGCTTTTGCAAGGGAAACAGCGTGAGTCAGTAGATGGACACTGTTGTGGCCTAGCGCACTGGTTTTGGCTCTGAGATGCTGTTTTCAATGACTTCTAGAACAAACAACTGTAAAAGTCAGTGAATAGCATGAGAGAAATGAGTTTTGTGCTACTTATTGGCCACCTGAATCCCAGCTGTGCTGCTTCTGATCCATAAATCAAGTCGCTGTGGCTCATTCATCAGCAGTGTCTAGCACACGTCCTTAGATGAACTTGTCGTCTCCGTCTATCTGCTCTCGATGGGTCACTTTAACTCTTGCGTGGTGTTGCTGATCACTAACGACAGCAGCCTGGTTGTTAAATACACCTTGGCCTGTGTGATTCGAGCATACTGTACTGTACAAGCCTCTTTAATTAATCTGCACACATCATGAAATCACAGGTTTCTATGGTTACCAGAGCAGAACTAAGGCCAGTCTGTATGAATGGTTCTATTGCTCAGTCCTTTTGTGCTGTGATTTTCTCATTGTGATTGTGCATTTGTCAAACTGCTTGAACCTAAAAAGTTTACATGCACAAATATACACTGAATCTTATATGTGGCCCAAGTTGATTTGTTGAAAGACTTTAAATGAATATTTTGACTTCAATACAAGACATGAGTACACATATCAAAAATCAAGGTTAGACACATAATGGAAGTGAATGGGAATGATTTTTGAGGATTTAAAAGCAGAAATGTGAAGCACATAATTTTATATGTATTATTTAAGAGAGAGAAAAGCAGGGATGAGTTTTTTTGATTAAATGTATTTTTATCAAATGCATGGGATCAAATGCAGTGTTATTTCCTCATATCCACTGTGAACAATGAAGTGTGGCTGTTTAAGTGTTTAGAGAAGAGCTCAAGCCAGCTGTTTTTCGAGCCTCGTACTTCACTATGTATGAGGAGACAGGAAATGCATCAGTGCACATGGCACATAGCATCCATCCACTCACACTTTTACAAACACAATCTCTCACAATCCCAGTTACTCTTCCTGGTTCCCGACTCATGTCCTCCTTTTTTTCCTTGAATCGTGCAAATTACGCTTTCAAGAATTCTCATTTGAAAACAACAACCATCGCCCAACAACCAACAAACCATCGCCTTCAAATTAAAGAAAAATCACCACGGCTAAGCTGCCGAGGACGACATCTGCGTCTAGTTTTCCTCTCGAGTGTATGATTGGGAAATTCATTTGTGTCTACCGTATAATTCCTAACCCTCTTTTAAGTGGCAAAAGCCATGCAGCACTCCACAATTTCCCCCTTGAAAGCAAAAAAAAAAAAGGATTTGGATTGAAACAAAGACTCTGTACTTCTTTCCTCCAATCCTTCTTATTTTTTCCCAGTATAATGTACCCCACTGGTTCTTGGGAGATGATGAAGTCGGGTTAGCAATTGTGGATGAGGAATAAAGATTGCTTGTCTGATCCACTTCTGGTAGTCAGAGAAAGCCACATGTGCACACATGTATTTATCATTGATTGCCAAATGATGGCCTTCAGTGTCAATAGTTAAGGGCCATGGATTTTATGTCATTTATAGAGTCTGCTGCCTTGGGAAATGAGATGTGATAGTGGCAACCTTCCCATTGTGCTCCAGATGGGGCTTGGAGTGATCCTTTACAGTTGAAATAAAGGGTCCTGAAATGACTGGAATGCAATTTTTTCAAATATAACTTGTAAATTAAATGTGATGGATTTTTTTTTTTTAATTCGTTTTTTATTATTGTTTGAACAGAAATTATATA